AGAAGGTAATTACAAAACTACGACGGCCAGTATCTCTCGCTCTCTCTCTCTCTCTCTCTCTCTCTCTCGAGGCAAAAGCCGAGCGCGAGAGATACGAGGAATAACGAAATTGACTCGTTAGTCTGTTAGATGCTGGCGAGCGCGCGCGCTCGCGTAGAGGCGTACAATACACAGTGTACAATACACACCGGCGAGGAGGAATTCGTGAGACGACTGTCAACCCACGCGAGACGCGCGGCAGGCAACGGGAAACGATGACGCTGGCTGATCTCAAAGGCATCCATCGATCGCGAGGCAGTCAACGGTTCGCGCAGTCCGACCGACCGACTTTATGAGTTATAAGTCGGCCATCTTGCCAGAGCCATCGCATATTCACGTGCGCGCATATGGGATGCACTGGCAATATGTAAGTGCCACATTCTGTTCTGGTGCACACGTACAGTCCGATCTAAAAAGTCGCGACCGAAGCGAACTTTTTCCTTTTTACCCGTGTACTTGTACTAGCATGTGTGGTACGTAAGGGAGATCGAGGAACGTTTCGCTACTATTTCCTCCCTCCTCCCCTTTTTCGGGTTCCTTTCGCGCGAGCGAATAATAATAATCGAGCGTGGTGTATACGGAATAACGTCGAGGCAATAATGGCAAGCTTCTCGGAAAGCTGACCGCGAGGCTCGAGAAATTTTTCAACGCCCGAGTTCTCGTATATGAGCGGTAGTATAGGAGCGGAGCAGAAATAAGAGACGGGATATATATACCGTAAACTAGGAAAAGCATCGGCTCAACACCGAGCGCATGCACATGAGTTATCGAATCGAATCATTTCGATAGAACGATAACAGATAATAATAGATGATGATGATGATAATAATAATAATAATAATAATAACAACAATCGATTTAATCGTTCGAAAGAAAGAAAGACGAGGGGGGAGAAGAAATTGGAATTTTCAATTTTTGAAGAAACGCGAGGAATTTTGTTGAAAAATTTGAAACGAATAAACGGACTACTCCTCTCCCCACGTAACCTCGGATCGACGCGTCCACGACGTCCTGATTACGATTACGGTTAATGTTCCTCCGGTTTACGGTATTTGCCGTGGACGATCGAATAACGAAACTAGTTAATTCTTTCCTCGATCGATCAGACTGGTTTCGCCGTGGTAACCTCGTTCCGCGGCTCGAGAATCCATCAAGACCGTCGAAGAGAACGAGCGTGCGCATAATCGATAAGCCAATCCCGGTCGCGATAACAGAAACAATGAATCCCTTCCTCGGATCGATCGGGCCAGGTTAATTTCGCGTTAACACCCGTTGCTTCCCCCCCCCCCGATGGCGATAAAACGAGAACGTTATAAAAAAGCCACGAGGTCACGATCGTCAACGCGCGAAATTGATTTTACGCCAAGTACGATCTCGACTTGCCAGCCAGTTACACTTGTCAATCGCGCCCGTAGCCCAACCCCGAATTCGATGCCAACCAATCGATCCCCCCCTCGGCTCGGCTCGCCACACCGTTTCGCCGAATACCGCGCCTCCGATTTCTCCTCGCCGAATTTCCTCGCGAATCGAACAATCGAACGGCACCCTCCTGTCTCTCCTCTTTTCCCGCGATATCTTCGCGATATCTCCGCGATATCTCCCCTCCACTCGAATACTCGCCGCCACCCACGCGCCAACAGCAGAGGAACGCCAAGTTAAACAACAACCGTCAACACAACCGCGTGTCTCTTCCTCTAATCGCGAATCTCGGTTCCGGCTAATTATTTTTCTTTTCCCTTCCTCCTCCTTCTTATACCTCGGCGTAATTTAATTCAATTCAACAAGGTCGATCGACAAAGAGAGGGAGAGAGCATTTCGCAAGCGCGACGAATCGAAGAAAAGAAGGAGAGGAGGAGGAGGAGGAGGAGGAAAGGAGCGGGACAAACGTTGAACTGGACTCACCGTGAGGCTGGTGGCCCGCAGTCGGGGGATTCAAGAAGGTCGGCGGTAGCTGCCTGCTCACCGACTTCACCAATTCTCCTCCCGTCAGCCCGTAGATCGCCAACAACTCCTGCATAGTCGATTCCGCGTACTCCCTCATCCCCTCGAACGGTTTCCTCTCCTCGCACTCGGCCTCGCGCTCCTCCCCGTCCTGCCCCCGCTCGTCCTCGAACGGGGTGTCGTCCAACCGTCCCGAGTCCGCGTCCAGGACGCCGCTTCCACCGCTCTTCTCCGACGACTCCGAGTTTGGGCTCCTGGCCTGCGCGCCCAAACAAATTACGAATTACGTAACATAAAGAGAGAGAGAGAGAGAGAGAGATATAGAAAAAAAAAAGAGATTACTCACTTCGGTGCCGGGGGAGTAGAGTTTCTGAGATCTGAGCTGCTCGAGGATGAACTTGTGCCTGAGAGAGTCGCCGCTGTCGTCGTCGGAGGACGGGGGCCTGGTTGCCACGGACAGATCCATGGGGCTCACCTCGTTGTTGTTCAACCTCTGCTTCGACCTGTCCTCGGCCGGCAACAGCATCGTCTTCCTCTCGTACTCGAGTATCTCGCTCGAGCTCTCCTCCATCGCCCCGTCCAGCTCGTCGTCCTCCTTCTCGTCGGACTCATCGGACACCTCCTCCACCATCCGGCTGCTTATCGGCTTGAAGTTTTTCCGCTTGTTGCGCGGCTTCTGGATGCTCGTGATCTGCAGCTGGGCCTGGCCCTCGTACTGGGAGTCGCTGTCCTGGTCGCCGGTCCCCCGCCGGGTCGTCGCGTAGTTGTACACCGAGTCGGAAAGCATCTCCGCTGGTGGAAAAGGAACCGGGACATCAGACACACCGCGCTTTCTTTTCTTTCTCCCTTTGCCTTTCGCACTTTCTCTCCTTTCTCTTTCTCTTTTCTTTCTTTCTTTCTTTCTTTCTTTCTTTCTTTCTTTCTTAGCCCTCGCGGCTAAGAACAACTCTAAAAATTCCTTTCCGTTTTCTAATCGCGATTTTTCGAATCCTTTTTCTTTCTCTCCTTTTCTTTTCGGACGAGACGAGAGAGATCGATCTTTACATCTCTTATATTATATCGATGGATACGATCCAATGAACGAACGAACGAACGAACGAACGCCAAGGCCGCGAGACAATTTTTTAACGTTAATTAGAATTCAACCGAAAGGCCGCAATCGAACGTTAATTGAACGTTCTAGGAACGTTCTAAGGTTGTCCGTCTGGTCTGGTGGATGGTCGGTGGAATCGCTACTCTACGATCCAACAACGATCAAACGGGCGCAGCAATAATTACGCGATCGCGATCGCTGCCCGCCACCGTTTCCCTCCACCACATGTTTAAAAAGCACGGGGGTGAACAGCGTGGAAAGATTGGTCGATACATTTTAGAAAAGGGAGTGGTGTCTTACTGGGGCCATACGGGCTGGTTACGGCGGACATCTCGATTCTCCTCGATCTCCGGCCGGATCTTCAACGCATTCTGAAACAGAGAGAAAACAGGGCGGGGATCCCTACGTTAGTTTTCGGTTGGCGAAGAGATACTCGAGAGAGAGAGACAGAGAGAGAGAGAGGAGGAGAAGGAGGAGGG